TTGTGTTTGGCCGGCTTGTGATCACTAAAACACCTTCCTAAAGGCAAGTGTTTAAATGAATTACAACAAGCAGGAAAACGGAAGCCAACCGGAAGACCAACATGGCTGAAGAAGAGGGCAAGGAAGGCCACATTGCTTCCCTTGGAATCTCTCTGCTAGTCAGCATGGCATGAACCAAACATTCCATAGATTAATTAAGTAGACAGCTACAACTCTCAGCATGCGGTGCAGTGATGAGAGACATCAATGGTGAGCCTTCGTGGGTGTACATCTGTCATCCCAACACTTGGAAGGGACAGGAGTTCAAAGCCAGGCTTAGCTACATAGCAAATTTGAGGTCAACGTGTACTACATGACCCTCTGTCTCAAAACACCACCCCAACAGCCATCAAGGGAGGCTGTCCAATAACTGTCTAAAAATGCTTATCCTACAAGGTCAGGAAGACAAAGACAGCATGGCTCACAGTGCGTCTACATCATACACGTGGGCTATGCTTGGTTTCATTTTACTGTCTTTTTGTTTAAATTGTGATGCTCTTATTATATGAAACAATCAACATGAGCTTTTTCTTTCAAATTCATTTTAATCAAGAAAAGGAAATAAATATTCCACACCGAGGAAATGTTCAAGGACTTAGGACTTCCAGCTGTCGTTGGCAGCTGCTTCACAACTATCAAGTCACTCGGCAACAGGCTCATGATTAGTTCCGTAAGCTGGGAATAACAATGCCACTGATTTGGGGGTTAGTTTGTTAAGATGAAGTTTCTCTGTAGCCCATGCTGGCCTCAACCCTCCCACCCCACTATGCAGAGCCTCCTGCCTCCACCTCCATAGTGCTGGGGACCCGTTGTAGGCATCTGCGACCACACGAGGTTTATATGGTGAGGAGGCACAGATCCGGGTCTTCCAACTGAGCTCTATCTCTAGCTCTACAAAAGAAACCAAGAACACAACACAACACAGCATACAAGTCACTCCAATCCATTGCTGTGACTTTCAAGACCTCGCTGGTGATATATGGGCTGTTTGTAGAGGACCCCTTCATTTCATGGCCAAAACCATGTTTACCTTAAAGATCTATCATAAAATTATGCATTGTTTATTCTTCTAAAGGAGGCACCGGCTGTGTCATTGTTCTCTGGCTGGAGAGTAATTTATATAAGCCCTCTGGTTTATGTTGCACACAAGAAGGCTTAGGCAGATCTAATCTTTTCTAAACCTGTTATGTTCTTGGGTTTGGCAGAATGTCCTAATTGTCACCATTAATTCCCCCTTTTTGTGGTCTCTTCTGTCAATAGACTATTGAGTGTTGGGGAAATTAAAGCCGGACCAGCAGCCAGCACACGGAGATAGACGTTAAATCATTGCCTGCCTGCCTGTCCTCATGATTAGTATCTGTGAAATAGCTGCTAAGCTGGGGGACAGGACTGGACATGATGCGTGCCGGCCTCCTTCTCAGGTTTCCATACTGTACAATCAGGTATGGGAGCGTTCCTTTTTCGAGGCAACAGGTGTGTTCTTGGAACAAAGTTCAACCCCCCCCCCCCCCAACACACACACTTTTGGCTCACGGGAGAGCTGGCAGCTGCAGGCTTAACTCCGATGACACAGGGCTCTGTGAGGGTACAGACCTAAACTGCTCGTTCACATCATTAAAGCAACAGGCAGATGGGCTCCGGCTGCCTGCGCTTTTCTTTGTGCTACAGAGCTGGGCCCAAGTTTTCAGATGGCAAGCCTCTCTCTTTTATTGCCCCCTGGCTCTCGCTTCCCCCCCCCCCCCCCCCCCCCCCCCGCCCCCCCCCCCCCCCCCCCCCCCCGTGTTTTCTGTTCTCCCTCTCCTCCTTTCCTTTTCTCTCCCCTGTGCTCTCCTTTCCTTCCCTTCTCCTGGGCACCCCTCTCCTCTCCAGTCCTCCCCTAGTCCCTCCCCCTGTTTCTCTTTTCAGTCTTCGCTTCTATTAAAAATAAGCACGGCACTTGTAAGACATTGCATATTCATTATCGAGAACGTATTTTCATTAGAGTCACACTGTTTACAAACTGATGAGTGGGGAGGAGAGAACCCTTCACTTAAATCCAATTATACTTACATCTCACTTTATTCGCAAAGGAACTCAAAGGGACTGTTCACCACGCAACGGGAGGGCTCACTCTGCGAAGCTGCCCTTTCTGAAAAAACACAAACTCGAGTACTGATTTCTAAGCCTCCCTGTTTTCCCGACTCAAGTGTCTACCAAGGGCTTTGTGAGATGCTATTAGCCAGAGATCAGATGTACTGTCCTACCCCAGAAACATAAAGTCAGCAACTGAAGGTCACAGGTCGGGAATCACCGAGACAGCATCACTCAAGAACTTCATACTGGGGACATGCGAATTTGGCTTCCACGTAGACTGTGCCAGCAAGTATGAGACATTCAACACTATCTCACAGTATATAAACCTTCATAGAAATAAAGACAACCAGATATCAAACGGTCAGTGTAAAGACACCCGTATGGCATTCACTGTGAGTAAGGAACCGTGGAAGCGGCTGTCTCAAAATAGACTTCCCTGAAGCGCAGATGGGCCCAATCTTCCCCCTTTCCACCTATAAGTATTTCAAGAGAAACATTTAAGAACAGTGGGGGGCAACTGTGACAGACAAATACACTGTGAGGTGACGTTACCAGACCCCCCAGCAAGACCAGTGCTGAGTGCTGAGTATGCTCTCAGTAGAGGTTTCCTAGCCTTGAAGGACTTTATTCAAGCATAGGATTTTCTATAAACCTACGTCGAAAGCGTCTTTGCCAGGATCATCTGATGGAGAGACACCTACAGGGACAAAGAGCTGGTTTTCTATCCTCCGAGACAGAGCCCTGAAAAGCAGCCCGATGTTTCACTTATCCTGAAGTTTCTAACTGGCCTGATTGGTGTTTTTGCTATGAATGTAAACGGTGACTAACTGCTGGGGAATAAAACTGTCTGTAGCTAGCAGATCAGACACACATCCTTAACGATCTCTTCCAATCGGGAATTTCCAGATTCTAGGATTTTTTTTTTGTTTCTCCCAGGCTGTACTTGGAAAAAAAAAAAAGTCATTAGAAGACGACATAAGAAAATTGCATTTGTGTGTGTGTGTGTATGTGTGTGTGTATGTGTCTGTGTGTGTGTGTGTGTGTGTATGTGTGTGGGTTAGAAAGGGGATCACAGTGGCAGAAGAGATATTAAGAACGTGGAGAGAGAGCAGTGGAATATTGTGACATAAGAGCAGAAAGTAGGGAAATCTGAGGAAGGGAGCCTGCTCGAGGCACGGGGTCCCGGAGGGGGACAGCAGGGGAGGGGCACAAACTGAAACACAGTGGAGCTGCGCACAGGTGTGAAAATGTCACAATGAAACCCATTACTTTGCATAATGACTTAAGAACGCAGTAAGAAAATGGGTTGGCGAGAAATCCCAGCTAGTAAAGGGCTGGCTTCACCAACACATTTGAGCGCTGGCACCCGTGTTAAAAACCAGCCATATGCACAGTTGTAAACCCAGTGCTGGGAAAGGGGCGACAGGATGATCCCTGGGGCCTGCCTGCCCACCTACTCCACCCTCCACCCAGTAAGCATCAGGCCCCAGGGAGACCCTGCCTCAAAGCCAAGGTGGATTTCACCCGAGGAAAGACACCCGGGATTGACCTCTGGCCCCACACACATGCACACACCGCTGCATGTGCAGCCACACACTCATGAGCGTGCACACACACGAGAGCACACTGCCATCTTAGCCATTTCCAGCCACTCCTGCTGCCATGGGATTTCTGGGCTTTGGAAGTAGAAAGGTCACACGCATTAGACAACTCCTCATTGCCTCCCATCCCTGCCTCTGGTGACCCCATCCTAGTCTCTGTGTCTATCAGTTTTGCCTCTCTGGATGCCTCATATAGACGGACTCATGCAGTGGACTCCTTTCTGTGTCTTGTTTATTTCCCTTAGCACCACGTCCTCAGTGTTCACCCATCTGATAGCATATACCAGGATTTTCTTTTCTGGAAGCGGAATAACATCCCACTGCACCTTCTACCTCTTGGCTGTTGTGGCTCACGCTGTTCTGAACTCGGGGGTACAAAGGCCACTTTGAAAGTCTGTTTGCATGGCTTTGGGATTTGCGCTCGAATGAGAGCTCATACGTTTACTCCACTGCCAACCCATTTTCCCTGATGGGCGTGCCATTTTCCCTTCCCACCAACAGAACCCGGGGGGTTCCGATTTCACCACCTCCATGCCCACACTTTCTATTTTCTGATGACAGAAACATCCCGACAGGTGTTAGTAATAGCCTCAGTCTGACCCTGGGGAAAAAGGGTGCCTGAGTCAATTCTGCTGGGGGAGCTTTTTGTAAAGTGACAGGAATTCACGCTAATCCCTGTGTTCAGTGCCCTCTGTAGCTTCCTGTCACACCAAGCATACACGGAAGTCCTTCACTGTGACTAACAGGTCCTATCCGGCTCTGGTTCCAAGCTACCTCTCTCCCTGATTCACCTCCCCAGCAGCTGTTTGCCTTGCTGGGAACAGCATGTTCCAGCATCCTCAGGGGTTTGCTCGAACCCTCCCCTCTATCTGGACCACCCTGCTCCATAACCACCCTTCCCGCTCCCTTTCTCTACTAAGATCTCTGCTCAAATGTCACCTCCTGAGATACGGCCCCTAAACCAACAACCCCAATTCCAAAACTTTCCACATCATTGTCTATTCCCTTAATTTTTAGGTCAGACCTATAATACCTCAGTTGGTTGTATAGTTATGTATGTCTTTTGTTTCCCAAAGGTAAAAAAGTTACGAGGTGGGGGTGGGGCAGGACTCCCTTGTCTCATTCACCCCTGAACTCCTGGCTTCTAGAACAGTGCCCACGGATGCTTGACTCGGTAGACTCTTGTAGGGCAGATACGTAAATGACTGTACAAGTGAAGGGAAAAGTAACCACAGAGACATTGTGACGCCATCGGGATCGTGGGGGGGGGGGTAAGGAAATACTCACATGCGTCTCTACATCCCCAGCAAGGACTCTGCTGTTCCTTAAGAACTCAGCCACCATACTGTTCACCAGCTTGTCAAAGGCGTCCACAGACGGTGCCACGCCTGCCAAAGAGAATGGCTTCATTACTTCCGGGTGGTCTCCTGGAAAGCTGGGACTGGATTGCCACAGGTCGAATATCCTCACTGCTACACTTACTCAGCCCGGCATTCCTCCACATGCCCCATGTTTACTGAGGACAATCCTTTCTGCCCAATTTCTTCAGCATCATTCATTCTCTCCCGTGACCGTTACCTTGATTATCAGCTCAAGTGGACTTAGGACCACCAAACAGACACACCTCCATGTGTGTCCGTGAGGGAGCTTCCAGAGACGGTTAACTGTAAGATGCCCCTACATGTGATGGCACGGCTGGTGTCCTGCACTGACGGAAGAGGAGAGAGCCAGTTTCATCTCTCTGCTTCCTGACTGCGGCTGCCACATGACCACTGCCTCCTGCTCCTGCCACTAAGACTTCGTGGCACAATGGGCTGTGGCTCAAACTATGAGTTCAAACAAGTCCTTAATTTGGTTTTTATCAGGCATTTTGTTCCATCGATGAGAAAAGTAACAGATGCGTCTCCAAGCCCAGCAAGATGAGCAGGGGCATCTCTATGTTATATATAAGGGAACAGGAGGCCTGACAGCAGGCGACTGGTCAAAAGCACAGATCAAACAAAAGGTAGATGCCCAAACTGAGCTGACCCAAGTTCCTCGAAGTCACTGCTTCTGCCTCCATAGCCTCCCAGATACAATACCAACCTAGAGAGTTACCCAGAGTCCCCAGGAATTCAGAGGACAAGTGAACTCTGGGAAAGAGGGGAAACAGAGCTAAAACCACTAATTCTCTTCCTTCTTTACTTCCCAGGGGGAGAATGCATGGGCAGAGAGTCAATGAGTTTCCTCAGGGATCGATCTGTACAGAGCATGGTGAGCCAATGCGCTGTGCAAGCTGAAGGGGCAGCAGTCCAACGAGCAAGCTCGGTTCCCGCTCTGCTCTTCAATTAACTGGAAGAAAACCAAAGATCTTGACTTTCTGTCCTTAATATTGATAAATTTATCCTTGTAGTTTATTAAAAACCAAACCAAAGCCCCTTTTATTTTTCAACTAAGTCATCCCTGCTCACAAAACTAAGAGAGAGACTTCTTTCCCTTTTTATCCCAATTGTCCATTTCCACACACAAGGAGGGGTTGGAGTGGGGGGAGGACAGTGACTGACAGCCCCCCACATCTCAGGCCAAACAACTCAGCAGCCCCTTGAACGGGAGTTGTCCTGTAACCCAGTTTGTCATTGAGGGAGGTGTGAGAGGTCTCTGTGGATATTTAAAAGGGAGAGAAAATTCCAGAAACGTGAGGGATGCTGCTGCCTAGCAAAAGGTAAAATGATGAAAGAGAATATGTTTCCAGTCCCCTTTCATCCCTGGACTCTGTCCACACCTCCTCCGGGCAGCCATTAATGATCTGTTTCTCCCCCACACTGTATCCTTTGAGCGTCTCTTAATCAAAGCATCTCCCACTCTGAATAGTTACGGAGGCAGAGCAAAGATGCTGGAGGATGAGGACCGTGTATAATTCATTTGAGTGCTCCTGCATCCAGGACCATGCTCATCACGGGGCAGGGACACAAACGCATTTCTCCAGCTGTGGAGCTGAAACTGCCCAGGAAAACAAAACAGAAAACAACAACAACAACAACAAAAAAACCCAAACACCAAACTTATCATAGACAAAAGTTCTTGATGTTTGGATGGTATGTGTTGTAGTGGCCTGTGTTCCTGTGTCCTTTCTCTAAATTTCCTTTAAAGTGTAAAAGAAATAGCTTTATTTAATATAGGACATAATACAGCAATGTAGGATAATAATACAGTACCTATATTTTTGGGGGAACCCAAATAATTAGTAAATATTTTACACAATCCTCCTGCCTCAATATCCCAAGTGCTGGGGTTCTGGGTATGTACCCCAGGTACTGGGGTTCTGGATATGTACCCCAGGTGCTGGGATTCTGGGTGTGTTCCCTGGGTATTGGGGTTCTGGGTGTGTACCTCAGGTGCTGGGATCCTGGGTGTGTTCTCTAGGTATTGGGGTTCTGGGTATGTACCCCAGGTATTGGGGTTCTGGATTTGTATCCCAGGTGTTGGGGTTCTAGGTGTGTACCCCAGGTGCTGGGATTCTGGGTGTATACCCCAGGTGCTGCGGTTCTGGGTGTGTACCCCAGGTGCTGGAGTTCTGGGTGTGTACCCCAGGCGCTAGGATTCTAGGTGTGCACCCCCACAGCTGGGTAAGAGGCTGCTTCAGAGTTTCGGATCACCAAATCTGGCTAAGAGGAAGAAATGACATTACTTCAGATTGAATAAAATGTTTTAGGAACAGGTACCATTCAGATGCCTCCCTAGTTACCCCACTTCAAGTAAAATAAACTGTTGGCTAAGTTTTCCAGGAGACCTTTGCTTCAATAACTAATTAGAAATAATTTGTTGTATCAGAAAATATTTGTCTAAATGTCAAATAATTGAATTTTGTGCCCTCCGATTTTATTTAGCCTATCAAATTCTCGGGACATTTCTTTCTCCTTTGCTTGTATAGGTGCATGTGATGATGTGTACATATGCGTACAGGCTTGGACATGTGTGGGTGTACGTGCATGTGCTTTTGCATTTAGAGGTATGAGGTTGATGTGTCTTCCTCAGTCACTGTCCACCATCTGAGTTGAGGCAGGATCCTTGCTGAACCCAGAGCTCAGAGATTCCCTGGATTCTCCGTTTCTGTGTCTAGTGCTATGATTATAGTCCCAGCTTTTAAATGGGTTCTGAGGATCTGAATCCATTTGACCCACTGAGCCATCTTCCTACACCCGCCCCCCCCATTTTTTTTTTAAATAAAAGAAATAATTTAGTTTTGTCTGCTACCTTTTTGAATGTGTGAGGTTCAAAGTTTGGGCTTTCCCTCTTTATTTAGATGCCCATTATCTCCTGGATTGTAACTTTGTTTTATTTAGACACCTGTTATCTCCTGGATTGTAACTTCATTTTGTGCACTTACAGGCTTTTTATTGAAGGTCAGAGCCCTTAAGGAAATGTCTGCAGCCACTTAGTGTCAAGGACAAAGTGAAACAAAGTTGAAAAGGCATTGCCATAGAAATGAGGCTTATAAGGTCCAGATACCAGCTGAAAGGGCTTAAGATAAAACTACAGGCACATCTTAGGGGTGTGTGTGTGTGTGTGTGTGTGTGTGTGTGTGTGCAGGTCAAGAACAGAACTGCAAATTTAATACAGATCACCCTGTTAAATTTTAATTTCAGATGAGCAATGAGAAGATTTTTAATACATTTATATGCTACACAGTATTTGAGAAACATTGATACAAAAAAGTTTCTCCATTTGAAATTCAAATTTAATGGGTATCCTCCATTTTTACTTCTTAAACTACAATCTTACACAAAAAGGAAATTGAAAAATTATTGTAGATAACTTGAAGTTTGCTATACGGGTTATCTGGTATTTACTGTCACCTCTCCAACCCTAAAGCTGTCCTCAGCACTTGTTCCCATTTTAAGAGGACTATTAGCTAGGAAAGGTCAGAGGTCAGGTCACGTGCTGTGGGCATGGACTTGCTCCATTTTTGGCTTAACCTGGGACAAGATGTAGCCAAAGCTGCAGTGCCCATAATGTCCTTAAAGTGAAAACCCACAGCACTTTAATCCTTTCCAGTTTGTATTCTAACTGAACATGCTCATTCTAGCTTGATAATTACTTCAATAATATAGTTACACATTAAAACAAAATAATAATGCCTCTTTGGTTGTGGATTACATTCTTCAGAAGCATAGATCTTGACCATTTTTGTGGATTAAGGGTTGAAACTTAAAGAGTTTGCTTTTTAAGGTGGCGCATAAAATCTGCATGTATTGGTGGAAGAAGGAGAATGTAACCCTTCACGTTCTTTCCCAGGAATCACTCCCAGGATGGAAGGCAGGATTAAGTGACCCACAAAGAGATCAGTAATGACATCAGGATATGGCCCTACCTCCATTGACACCATTAACTTCTCCACAGTCTCCAGGAGGCCCACGTGAGCCTGCAGACAGCTGCTCCAGCCGGCTGACCGCGCATTCCAGTCTCTCCATCAGTCCCAGCATGTCTGCCATTCTAGAAGGACATGGGCAGAGAGATTGTGTGAGATACTGAGGATCAGCAAGCTGACATCATCCCACTGAACCGTGAGAGAGAAGATAAACACCACTCAGAATGGCTTTCGCTACCTCCCTGTCATGAAATCCTCCGAAACTTAAAAAAAAAAGAAGCTTATTCAAAACGAAAATTATATTGGGCTTGTTTTCTACTCAGTTCAATGATATTTATTTATAATTTATTTGCAAGGATCTCTCTATGTAGCCCTGGTTGTCTTGAAACTTGCAATGTAGACCAGGCAGACCTTGAACTCAGATCCAATTTCCTCTTCTTCCCCAGTGCTGGGATTAAAGGTAAGTACTACCATGCCTGGGATGATTTCTTTTAAAACATGGTATAAAACCTAAGACACAAATATTACCCAGCTTTCCATTATCTGCCTACATGCTTCCAAGGTTGTGGCCTGACACCATTTTTGTACAGCAGTTACCTAAAAGCCAAAAACACACAACCCCAAATTAACACCACAAATGCTTACTAGGCTAAGTGGTGGGAACACATTTTAACTAGTACTAGTAATTCTGTTAAAGTGTGATTACATAGGCAACTTCAAACCTACTGACAATCCTTGTTCACCTAATTGTGTGAAACGTGAGTTTACAGAATTGGGTATTATTTAGCAAGCGAGGAAATACCATCACCTCCGGGTATTAATTATTATCAGTTTGTTTCAGTGTTTCCTCTGTGAAATTATCTTAAATTATAATGATTCTGAATCGCAGAGGTTTTAGTTTAAAGGAATAAAGGTGGCTGTTTTCCTTGTGGAGGCCACTGATTACTTTCAGGTGCACGTTAGTCTTCAGTGGGCTGGTTTTTAGAGACTGGATCTTACGTTATCCACCATTCTGGCTGGAGTAGAGAGGGAAGCTGACTGAGGCATCGGGGACGAGAGCGGGACTGTACATCCATCCTTTTCTGTTTCCAAACACACATTTGACTGAGTCCATAGGCAACATTACTAGTCCTAGACTTTCCACCCTGAACATCTAAATTCAATTAAGTGAGTGGTGTCTATGAGCTGTATCTCTAGACACTTACTTATGACAGCCTTTGGTAAAAGTCAGTCCACTGCCCCAAAGAGAAGAAAACATGCTTGCTTTAGCCACGGCCTATGGTTCCTTCCATGTGTATGAAATTTCCAACTTTTCATTATGAGCAAAGGAGAGGCAAAATGCTTCTGAATCACAGACACAGCTACCCTGGAGCATGGGTGAGCTGTGTCACTTATGGGATGCGTGAATACATCAGATTTCCCCCAGAAGCCAGGAGAGAAAAGCCCTGCATTTTCAGCTTAAATACGACACTCACAGACCGCCCTAGATTCCAAAAGCAAGGTTAACTACATCTAACCATGTGCCCAGCTCTGTACGTCAGCATCCAAATATCAGTAGCCAGAGAGGGAGGCAGAACTCGTGGTCTATTTTGGAAACCCATCGCTCTGGAAGCTGCCAGCAGCAGCTCTCTCAAAATATGGAGCAGGACTCGCTGCACAGCTGAATCCAGCATCTAATCCCAAGGGGCTGCAAAATTAGAAGTTTCTCAGCTATTCTTTTCCTTTTCACGTCAGAGCTTCTGATGCTGTTGCAATTGAAGGGGGAAAAGGAAGGAGAGGTTTAACTGAATCCTTTACATAATCTTCTTGCAGGGGAACTGGGTATCTCATAGGTGGGCGAAGGCCATTTGGGAATGATCAAAGCCCCTCAAATCTTTTAATGGTTGCCCATCTGGTCAGTTATCTTGGTTCCCTGTTAGTCAAACTTGCCAAATGTTACCACCCTGGACCTAGTCTATGATAGCAGGAAAAAGCATCTGCTCTGCTACCCGGGTCCCCAAACCACCTCTGGCTCTCCCCGATCGGGGCAAGCTGTTTCGGGAGAGCCTGTTACGTTTCCCACTTGAGACTGCCTTCCCAGCCTGCGGCTTAATCAGACTCCTCAACCGGTTCCAGACTCAAGCTATCTAGTAGTGAGTGTCACCCATGTTGACAGACAACAGGACTCAGCGTATCAGCTGCAGGCTGAGGCAGATTGCTGTGGAATGTGGCCTAAAAGCCACTCAGAGGCCACTTCGTGTAGAAACACCAAGTCATGTCACAGCTTCTAAGGACACCTCCAGCTCTACAATCCTGAAGCAGTGTGTTAGAGACACTCGACAACAGACAGAAGAAAGTATACACCAGGATCCACATTAGCACGCCCAGGGTGGCCAATGGGGTCTGAGGTAGTCATGCAGCCCACGCAAACTTTCCCACTCTGTCTACATTTGACCTCAGCTGCTATCCAGACCATCAATAATAAGCAAAAAAAAAAAAAAAAAAAAAAAAAAAGGGCTATCGATTCTCCACATTCCAGCCTATTTGCCCTGGCATTTCAACATGCTCTTAGCTGACTTTAGACAGGAGCAGGGAATTAAAGGGGCTGGGGAAAGGCACAGAGTTGCCACAGTAAATGGGAACGGCAGGGTCTGGTGAGGAATAGGTCTGAGCAAGGGAGTCAGACATGAGAGTTACGTTAGGAGGCCAGTGGAATCGGGTGAGGGGCAAGTTAGCTAGATGACAGACAGTTTAAGGATCAGAAGTGTTCGAGTCTGGCTCAGACGGTATAGCTCAAGCATGGCTCGACAAAATTCTGGCCATCCTGTTCATGAAGAAGGCGTCCTATAGGTTACTCTCTACTGCCTATAGCACATCAGACTAGGGAGGGAGGGTGGGCCAAAGGAGAAAGTGTTACATTCTGACATTACTTGTTTTTAAAGTTAGTTTGTTTACTATATCAGTTTGTATGGATGTTTTTGTCTGTGTGTCTATGCACCATGAGCCCGCCTGATGTCACAGAGGTCAGGAGACAGCACTGGATTCTCTCGGGTGGGAGTTACAGACAACCGTGAGCTCCCGTGTGGGAGCTGGGAATTGAACCGAGTTCCTCTGGAAGAGCAGCCAGTGCCCTTAGCTCTGAACCATCATCCCAGTCACCTGAAGATTTGTTTTAAGAAACTGTATTTGAGGGTAATTTTCTTTCTTGAAAATAAAAACAAACAAAACAGTTATCAATATGTAGGCCTGGCTGGCCTGGAACTCTTCACGTAGAGTAGGCTGGCCTTGAACTAACTCTGTAGTCAAGGCTGACCTTGATCAGCTGATGTTTCACCTCCTGAAATTATCCCAGATCCCCACTGCTTTGCCCGTAGTCGGCGCGGATCTTAATTCTTTGTGAGTTAATTTTTTAAGTACCTCTTGAGATGAATTACAGTGGAAAACCCATCTTGGTGCGTTATTATTTTTCTTATTTACACTTTCCCCTCACCTTTTCCCTCGCATGCTACTCATTCTCCTTTCAGTTGACCTAGCACAGTTACAGGACACAGTATGGGGACTCAGGATTGGGTATGACTGAGTCAGGACTGTGTTAGCATTTCCAGCCACTTACACAGCAAGTCGTCGCTCTGTGTGCTTGGGACTTCAAGCTCCCCTCTTAGTTCTTCAGGAACTATATACCAGAGGTTGTGGTAAGGTACAGTTAATATACTGTTAGGGTTTCTGCTGCCGCAGCGAAACACCATGACCACAAAGCAAGTTGGGGAGGAAAGGGTTTATTTGGCTTATATTCCCACATTACTGTTCATTTCTGAAGGAAGTCAGGACAGGAACTCAAATAGGGGAGGAGCCTGGAGGCAGGAGCTGATGCAGAAGCCATGGAAGGGTGCTGCTTACTGTCTTGCTCCTCATGGCTTGCTCGACCTGTTTTCTTGTAGAACCCAGGACCACCAACCCAGGGTGGCACCACCCACAATGGGTCGGGCCCTTTCCCATTGATCACTAATTGAGAAAATGCTTTATAGCTGGATCTCATGGAGGCATTTCCTCAACCAGGGCTCCTTCCTCTCTGATGACTCTAGCTTGTGTCAAGTGAACACACAAAACCAGCCAGCACAACTGGCCCCTTGTCAGCCTGACACACAGAGACATCATCATTAAAGCCACAGTCCTTCCTTTCTTATTCATCCCCAAGACCTGATGTCAAAAACACAAATAACTTTAAAAATCCCATGGTCTTTACAAATTCAAACACATTGAAATTTCAGTCCCTTTAAAATAGCCAACCTCTTTGAAATTCAAAGTCTTTTGAAATTCAAAGTCTCTCAACTGTGGGCTCCAGTAAAATATTTTCTTACTTCAACAGGGAAGTATCGGGGCACAGTTACAATCAAATCAAAGCAAAACTGAATTCCAGCTGTCCAATGTCTGGGATTCACTCACAATCTTCTGGGCTCCTCCAAAAGACCTGAGTCATTTCCCCAGCTCTGGCCTCTGCAGCACACAGCTTGTTTTCTAGGCTCCAGCAGGCTCCACTCCACAGCTGCTGCTGCTGCTCTTGGTGGTCATCCCATGTCCTGGCATCTCCAAAATGCTGGGGTTTTCTGCTGCAACCGGGCTGCACTTTCACCAATAGCATCTCATAGGCTCTCCTCATAGTGCTGACCCCTTCAGTCCTGGGTCTTCAACTGTCGCTGAGGCTGCACCTTCACCAATGGCCTCCCCTGGCCTCTCACAGCGCCAAGATTCAGCTGCTCTCCATGATCCCTTCATGACTTCAAAACCAGTACCACCTGGGTGATACTTACACATTACCAAGTCTGACTGCCATCCCAAGGTACAACCTTGGCCACCTCTGGAACACAGCTTCTCTGTGCTCTCAGGAAACAAATCCCAGAGGATTTCATCTCAGTGACACTGGTCTCTTCCTAATCACCACTAATTTCTTAGCGCCAGCAGCCAGCATCAAGCATCCCGGCAGAGCAAAATTTCACCTCAGCAGTGCCGGTACCTTGTTAATCACAGCTGATTCTTCAGCCCCAGCTAACCAGAACCACAGACTCTTAATTCAAAATAACAAATAGCCCTTGATAGCATCTTTAAACTTCCCTCTGAAACTTCATTTTATCTCCTCCACTGCTCTCAA